CTTCCTGCTTAGGGGAATATAATTAATAATGTCTACCCTAATCATATTGATGAATCACTATTCTGTGCTGAAACCCAACAAAATTCCAATTTCTATTTTTCTAAAAGACTTTTACTCATAATGCTCAGGGATTCTAAAGAATCATGATGGAAGAGTTCCACAGCATCACAGATCCTCTACCATACCTAACAGTAGGCATATGGGGGCCATTTCCCATCCTATATGTTGTTTTGAACTAATGGAGGCTTTGTTCTGTGTTTTCTCTAGATAATGATTCTCACTAATTTCCTAATGAATCAGTGGCCCTGTTTCTAAATTGTCCTTGAATCTCTTTTGATTGGTGGAAACTTGTTTTGTTTTTTTAAGCCTACAGCCCACTTCATGCTGCCAGGTGGGTTATATTTTGATTCCACAGGTGTAGATATCATAAGTGAACTTAACTGTCTGTCCAAAAAAAACTGTAAATTTAGGTTTTAGCAGCGTGGGGACTACTGCTAAAAAAAATAAAGGGAACACTCAAATAACACATCCAAATCTGAATGAATGAAATATACTAATTGAATAATTTACACAAACTGCATCAATGGAAATCAAATTTACATGTATTAACCAATAGAGCCCTTGATTTGGAATCACACACAAAATTTAAGAGTAAAAACACACACTAGAGACTGATCCAACTTTGAGGATCTCATCTGAGTACCTAATGGCAGTCATGCTACCGCTGGTGAGCACATGGAGGGGTGTGCAGCCCTCCAAAGAAATTACTGACCTACTGCCAAACAGTTAATATCATCCTCATGGAATTGATCTCTAACTGTTTGTGAAGATATATGTACATTTGTGGCCTGCTGGAGGTCATTTTGAAGGGCTCTGGCAGAGCTCCCACTGTTTCTGCTTGCACAAAGGCAGAGGTAGTGGTCTTGCTGCTGAGTTGTTGCCTGCCTATGCTGGCCTGTCTGCCGGCAGCACCTCCAACCTCTGGACACTAGACTGACAGACACAGCAAACCTTCTTGCCAGAGCTGACACTGATGGGCCATCCTGGATGAGCTGCCCTACCTGAGCCACTTGTGTAGGTTGTAGAGTCCGTCTCAGGCTAACACAAGTGTGAAAGCACCCCCAACATTCAATAGTGACCAAAAGAGCTAGAAAGCATAGGTACTGAGAGGTGGTCTGTGTTCCCCAGCTGCAGAACAATTCCTTTATTGAGTGTTTCTTGCTACTACTTTCCACCTGTTTTCTATTCCATTTGTGTAATGTAAATCTCTTTATTGTCCCACAGTGGGGAAATTCCCTCTCTGCATTTAACCCATCCCCTTGGGGAGCAGTGGGCAGCCATTGTGTGGCGCTTAGGAAGCAGTGTGGGGTTAAGGGTCTTGTTCAGAGACCCACAGTGGAGGCTGTAGGTCTTTCAACCTTCTCAGAGCACAAGCGCACTCCTCTAACCCACTAGGCCAACAATCCCCCAATTTGCATAACAGCATGTGATATTGACTGCAAACTAGTTTGATATCACAGAAGTTTAATTTAATGAAATTTATATTGTGTTGTTTACGTGTTTTCCTTATTATTTTGAGTAGTATATTTGTACATATACAACAGGATTCCTTTAACTTTAAATGAAATGAATCATTTCAAAAGCTGCATTTTCCATCTGCTGAAGTTAACTTTATCTATCATTAAAATCTGTCTCATGATTTGAAACCTTTAAGCCTGCCTAAAGAAGCAAAAACAGAATACATTTGTAAGGGACCCAATAATTCATCGGATTGCCTCGAAAAAAAACTAACAAAAAAAGACCAATATAGATGTGACCACACTAGATAAGGAATGACACAATGCCTAATATTTTACTTTTCTATTTAGCATGCAACAACAGAAAACAAGAAAATTATTATTTAATAAGAGCTAAAAATGAATCAAAAAGACTTAAATATGACTTTAAGTGTCACTAGCTTCAGCCATATTGTCTGCTACAACAGTATTTAAACCTAATAACTAGTATTTTTGTTTGAAAGATATAAATAAAACATGCATAGATTAGATTACTATGCCTTGAATGTACTATTATTAGTTTAGAAGTTTCTCTTTGCTAATATTAATAATACTTTTACAAAGCATTTATAATATTACTATTTTTATTTTTACTTATATTTTAGATTATTAGGAATATATTAATATTCAGTATTAAAATCAAGCTGTTATATCCCAACATGTACCTGTGAACTCACACATCAATAAATATTTAAGAGCTGTTGTTAGATATTTGCAGAAAACAACGTTCTTCAAGTTTAAATATACAAATAGATATTCCGTTCTATATGAGAGTGGGATATTGATAATCCACATCTAATTTGATGAATCCATGCTCTATTATAGATTTAAATACCCTCCATATATGTATTACACCCATACCTGTATACTGATTTGAACTGGTTGCCTTTCTCCACTCTTGGTGTGTGCAACCCCCTCGGTGTCGTACTGACCAGTGTAGACCACAGACTGGGGGTCTTTGGACTGTTGCTCCAAGGGAAAGGTCACTCCACCCACACTCATTGAACTGCAGCCAGAAACACCACAAAACACACTCATATTAATAAACTCAAACACATACGGTAGACAGTGTACACAGTGTCTTGTATTCAAACTAACTTTACCAAAACTCATTATTTCCTGTTACTAAACAACTTTATTATAGTATTATTTTAAAGTTTAGTGATGAATTAGTTTTTGTTTTGTTTTTTTATTCACCCTCACTGGGCAAATAGTTTGCAAAACCACCTTTTGATAAACAATTACACCTTTTAGTGCATGGTTTGACATTTTTTATCTTTGTCAAATGGCTCAAGCAAAATATGAATCCTCAAGATGGAACTAAGTTTACTGAATTCAGTCATCATCATATTGTCACACTATGACTTAGGGATGAACTGATATCATCATTTGGGCCGATATCTACAATTCTATATTAACAATGCTATTATAGCCGATTTTACCGATACCGTATATCATATGAATGACCAACACAGCACTGACATGCTTCAGTTAAACACCTTCAACACCTTAGCTTTATAACACTAAATGTCCATCCATTTTCTATCACGCTTATCCCAAGCGGGGTTGTGATGGTAAGCTGCCTACGGGCGAGGGGCAGGGTACACTCTAGACCAGTCCCCAGGTCCATCACATGGCAACACAGACACAAACAGAACAAACAACCATTCATGCACACACTTACACCTAAGGAGAATTTAGAGAAGCAATTAACATAACAGTCATATTTTTTAACTGTGGGAGGAAGCCGGGGTACCTGGAGAGAACCCACACATGCTCAGGGAGAACATGCAAACTCTATGCAGAAAGACCTGGGGCCGGGAATTTAACCTGGAACCTTCTAGCTGCACGGCAGCAGTGCAAACCCACTGCTCCGCTGAGCATCCCCAATAAATGTCACATGACCAAATAAATACCACATGACCAATCCACTCCACCCTCCCTTCTAAATGAAAACCAGCAAATACAGATATTGATTTTTAATATGGGTAAATTTTTTATGATCATACCAATATGCTTAATAAATGCCCAAAATTTTCCGATGCTGATTTTAAATCCAATATATCCTGCAGCTCTACTATGAATTAAAGAAAAAAAGTTATTTATTTGGTATTTTTATTACAACGTATAATCTAAAACTCCTACTGGATATATTGCAGTTCGTGATTTGGACTGTATCCAATAAAAGTGAGAAAGGGAAAAAAATTTGGGATTGATTTGCATAAAGGTAAGCTGCATGTTCCCAGCTGTGCTCCATGCCCCACATTCAGCTGAACAGCTCTTCTGCATCATGTGTGACCTACATTTAGACGTTCTTACTGAGGAGCATGTTTTACAGAATTACTGCCAAACATCCGTCTCTAATCCTTATTTGCAGACATGGTGGTACAGCTGCGCTCATTACATAACCAGTCCAAACCACTAGAGACCGTTGACACAACATACAAAGGCCTGCATCCTGGAGTAATCCTTGGTGGATTTGACGTGGAACCTGTTTGTGTTGCGTTCAGGTGCTGCATGTAAAGTCAGCTTTAAACTTGCCTTGATGAACTTGTCAAAATGTTGGACCAAAAAAATAACAACTTCTATAGTAAAATACATGATCAACATTTACTTTCATCTTCTAGAATAACAATCAAGAATTATTATATTCATATTTTTTTTTTATTTGACTAAAAATTGCATTTATTTTATTTTTACATTTATTTTTTTCAATTAAAATCCACAGTTTTGGTGCATCTGTTGTCTTTTAAACCAGAAGATATAGCAGAATGAATTTATGCGTTTTTGTGGGGAAATATCCCCCAGAAAAGACAGTTATATGATTTGGGAACATTATTAATCAGAATGCGTGCACCGAGCTCACAATATTCGCTCTATAAAAAAGAAAACCAATTGTGAAATATGATACCTGTTGGTTTTGCATCCCATGATTTGCCCTTTTTGATCAGGGTGATCCAGTGAATACCTACGTGGCCTGAACTGCTCCTGGTTTCACCACCACTTCGATCTTGTACTTGGATCCTGTCAGCAGCTTGATGGTCCGCGTCTGTCCGAACCGAGCGCCGTCTGACTTGAAGAACACCGCGCCGTTATTTGGAAGTATCTTCAGGGAAATCCCGATTTTAACGATTTGGGGGACGTCGGTCATGTTTCCATGCAGCTAGAGGGCAGAAGCCTCGGCGGTGATTGCGGAGGGGAAGAGTCAGGCTGCGCTTCAGGTGCCGTGATCAGTTGGAGCGGACGGAGAAGCCGAGAAGCTCATCAGGCGATAAAGCGCGGCTCATTTCCAGAGCAGCCCGGGGTAATCCACTCCAACCTAACGCACGGGCCTAATCCCAACAAATGCTCTCCTTGATTGTCCCCTCTGAAAATATCTCCCTCTCTCACGGCACACTCCCCCTTTGCACACACCCACCCTCACTCCTCACGCGAGTCTCTACTGGACAGCTGTCCTTGGTGCTGAAATTTTCTCAGCGTTGTATCGCTGTACCGGAGGTCTACAACAGGGGGTCCGCGTACCCTAGGGGGTCCTTGGAAGTACTGCATGGGGGTCGCGAAAATTTTGGTTGATTACACTTTTTTAATATATATATGTGTGTGCAAATACACATTAACATGAATTCAATACACTGAAGTAAAGAGATAAATGGAGGCAGAAGATGTCTTTCAGTCATCAATGCACACATTCAGCGACACACAGGAGCTCTTTCAAGCTGGGCACTAGAGACTGACATTTTTTCGGGAATCCCATGGGTCACGGGATTCCCGTGGGATTCCTGTGGGATGGGAGTCAGTATTAGTAACGATCACGGGATTGGGACGGTACAGGATTAAACATTAACGGGAGCAGATGGGAGCGGGAGCAAACCAATAGTAACTTCCGCTCTGAGTTTTTCACCCGCGCTCAAAAACAACAAGAATGGGAGTCATTCTGAATGGGAGCGGGATGGGAGTGGGAGTAATTTCACCAGGAGTGGGACGGGACAGGATTTAGATTTCTACTCTGGCCCGGGATCGGGACGGGACACCATTTTTTTCTGTTGGAGTGGGACGGGACAGGAGTGAAAATCCACTCCCGTGTCAGTCTCTACTTGGCACCAATTCATGCACATCACCTGTCCCATCAACCAGGAATCAGAATCAGAAATACTTTAATAATCCCAGGGCCAAATTACTTTGTTACATGACACCATCTGTAATAGACTGACTGTAGGACCAGTTTGATATAACACAATTTCATACAATATATATAATTAGGGGGTCCCCGCTTCATCTTGCAATCAGTTTAGGGGTCTGTTAAGGCTACTCTTGCATCAAAATAGTTTCCAAAAAAATCAAAAATTGCCAGAGTAGTCTTAGGAGGAGGTTTTTCGACTCACAAAACAAAAAGCACTCGTGGAGAATTTTCTTGTTTCAAAAAAGGGGTGTTTTCTTTACTTATAAAAAATAACAGAAATATTCTCAGAGTTGACTTACAAAAAATTCAAATAATATGTGTGAAAAAACTGTTGCACTCCTCACTCCTTCAAACAAACATCCAGATCCACCTCATCAGCTGCTTCTACTTGTTAACCTCAGCAGGAGGCGGACTGACAAGGAGGAGGATCAAAGCCAAACCAATACATAAACAAATAAACAATAGTTCCACCATTCACACAACCTTAGATCTTTAACATTAATAATTTTGCAAAAAATAAATGAATCTAATTCTTAATAGGCTCCAACATCCCAGCCCCTAATTGTTAGCCTTAGCAAAATAACGTCCTTGGTCGATTTTAAAATAATTTAATCTTATGTCATATCTCACATTTATCCGAAAATGGCTCCTAAAAAAGGGGCATACATTTTTTTTTTTACATCAAATTATTTTTAACCGTCATATAAAATAAATTTATCAATGTTGATTGGTTGTCAAAGCTTTTTATAAATATATATACATTAGGTAAATAGAGTAAAGTTCTAACACTATTTTCTAGAAATTTATATTGACACAAAATTAAGTACCACTAGCATCAATCATAATATTAATAGTAATAATAAGAAGAATAGGAACAAGAATAGTAATAAGATTTTGAATTTTTAACAACAATTTAGGTACAAAATCAAATTATGCCAAAATGATTTTCATAAAAGCTAAAATCATTTAAATAAGGAGCTTGTTATATTGTAGTTCTCCATCATCTGAAACATTAGGTAAAATCTTGTTAAAACCCCACAATGGCATTAAGTCCTCCATGCCCTGTGTGGTTCTGTGGAAATGAAAATCCAGTTTAATCCTGACTTTAACAGTGCATTTCCACGGAGCCACCGCAGCAACAAGAAGATGTTCTACATCACAACAGAGAATGCAAATGCTCAAATTATAGCTGCAGATTGACTATTGGCTCACTGCAATACTGCAGATTGACCACTAGAGGTCAGCATTGGCTTACTGTGGCAAGAAGGTTCTTTTAAACGAGCGCCAAAGTAAATAAGAAAAAACTATTTTAATTATTTATTTATTTATTTGCTGAAGAACAGAGTACTATTACGACCAGTGCTAAAAAGCTATCTATAAAACAAAAAACAAACAAAAAAAAACAAAAAACACACTATATATATATATATATATATATATATATATATATATATATATATATATATATATATATATATATATATATATATATATATGTATATATATATATCTATATATATATATATATATATATATATATATCTATATATATATATATATATATATATATATATATATATATATCTATATATCTATATATATATATATATATATATATATATATATATATATATATATATATATATATATATATATATATATATATATATATATATATATATATATATATATATATATATATATATATATATATATATATATACGTATATGAATGTGTACATATACATATGTAGCAGATGTTCCCGTTGCTAGTTCCACGGTCAGGTATGCATCCTCAGAAATGTATGTATTACTTCTGACCTCTGAGGTAGATTTTTTTCATCTTGTTTAAGCCTGGAAGCCAAAGATTTCTGTAAAGTGATTTGAATTGTGATTAATTTGTCCAAGGAAGATAATACCACAGGATTTACCTCTACCTCTATGTATTAATAGTGAGAGTCTGATGCTGACCAAGTTTAAACCTTATTTACACAAAAATAACCACGTTTTAATGGATTTATCTCTTAGCTTAACATTTTAAACCACAATTATACATTGATTAAAATGGCCAAGTTTTCTTTTTAGTCACTTTTCAACCAAATTTGGTTCTCTTTACTTTACTTTAGACCCTGAACATCACCAGCATCCTTTTATGCCGACATTTATTTTGCTTTTATTAGCTGATTATTTCCAACCTGCAGGATATTTAGATTGTTGACATTTGTTTTTGGCAAAGGTGTTCCACTAAAAATACTAAAAGTTTGCAGAGTTACAGTAATCCTAAACAATGGCTCCCCTAGTCATCAGAGATCTGTTAACCAGTGTTTTTACGGCCAGAACCTAACCATGGGAGGAATTGTCTGGAATCTATGATCCTTACATATGGAATCAACCTCATGAAAAAAAAGTAACTTGGGAGCCTTTTTCCATTTATTATCAAATAGAAAAATAAATGTTTGCATTTATTGTTTCAGTGGGTTTAGATGAGTATATTCTGGATGTATTTGCAGCCCCAACAACTAATTTAACACATTTCTTGTCTTTTGATCTAAGCGTTATTTTAATCAAACTTCTATTTATATCACACTTTAAATATATTTGTGGATGATTAGACAGTAAAGAAACCCAAATTTGACATGAGCAGAGGATTTACATGAAATTATGTCACTTTCTACTTTTGATATGCTGATAATGTCATTTTGCTAGGATGAAACTCTAAAATTCTTTGTCTGGGCTCAAGTATAAAATTACACAATGGAAAATCATTGGCCAAAAATTTATCTTGGCAAACTATAGAGAAACTGTGCACTTTTTGCAGCTTTCAGTTCAGTTCAATTAAAACAAGCTGTATTGATCCCAAAGGGAAATTTAATGCTGCTCTTATGAGGATTTTTCAAAGTGTAGATGTTAATAGAAGTAGGCAGGAAGGATCTCCATGTGGTCTGTCATGCAGCGGATCTGGGCTCTAATTCAATAACATTGTGTATGCACAAAATGAGCCCTGAGTCATTCGAATGCCACTTTCTGTGCAAAGGTTGTGATCCATCTAAAAAAAAACAACCTGGCACGGAAACGTGTTGCCCCTCACACTATCCCTAATACTTTTGCAGATTTGAAAAAGATAGGGGAAAATGGCAACACAGAAGGTGAGGTGGAGAAAGGAACTCTGAGAGGTTCAAATTTAATATATATAAAAATATGACTAATAGCTCAACGCCATCATAAAATGCAACGTCCCAGTGTCATTCCTGTTGCATTGGGGAACCATAATTATACTTGAGGGCAATGAGCAACTCATATCCTTCATGAAAGTTGGTACAATATTTAAATTTCTCCCCCTTGCATTTATTTGCATAAATGTGAGAAGTATGAGAAAAGCCAAACCTCCAACTTCTTCTATTTTATTGGAAATCAATGACCAGAAGTAAGGCGTTCCAACCGGACAAAAATCTTCAAGTCAAATTCAAACTTCCAATAGTTTAAAGCAGGTTAGCATTGAACTCTTATATGATTCTGATCTCAGCTTCCTGTACCAAAAACAAATGGAATATGTTTCAGCCAGAATTGTGGCAGAGGCTTGGTGTGAAATGACAATTCTCTCCAGTTTATGAAAGTTTACTAAACATTAGTGTAGACAGAACACAAATGTGAGACTTTATGTATAAGATTTTAACCATAAATAGTCTTCATATATATCAGGCTTAGATTTTATTTCAGGTAGAAAAGATCGAACACCCCTACAGTAAAAAAAAAAAAAAGAAATCGGTATGAAATTTAAAATGGTCTGCTTTTAGTAACTGAACAAAACTGTATCATTTAGTCACATTACAAAGATAGCCTGTAGAAATGAAATGCATAAAACACTCGGGGGTCACATAAGCTGAAAAGATAACAAGTAGTTTGGGATTTAGGCTTGATTAGCAGTTTTTCCAGACTGGTGTCAATGGGAAAGAGTTTAGATTTTTGGTGTACCAGTATCATTTTCCAAAAAAGGCTGCCTTCCAAAAAAAAAACCAGTAGTGCATCAAAAAGTCCATCCATGAGAAAGTCCCAGCATGAACATCACAGCTGACCTAAACGCGCACCTAGAGCATCACCGGATTTTCCAATGTTTGTTAACATCATAAAGATGTGAGAGAAGGCTGATGGGACAAAAGGGGCAGTTTTTTTTGTTGTTGAAACAAACAAGGTGTGATGATCTGGGGGCTTCTTGGCTGCTTCAGGACCTTCACCTTTTTTTGATGGAACCATGAATTGTGGTATGTGGCTGTCAGTTTGTGAGTATAGTTGGCTTAGTCAGCACAACGATGATCCAGAGCAAATCAGACAGCCAGGCTCTGAATCCCCAAAAATAAATAAATAAATTAGAACTGCAAAGAAAGAAAAAAGAAAACTCAACAGGTTCTAAAGAGCTCTAGTCAACTCTGGATTTACCTCAGTTTAAGATGCAGTGGCATTATTGTTTTTATCTCACATGTTTTCTATCTTTGTGTGAAATTAAATTAGTAAATGGGAGCAACGGTTCTGTTCTTGTCTGTTTTCTGTCTATTAATGTATGAAGGATTAAGACTAAATGTGTTAGTTTGATGTAGTTTTCCTCACCTAGATTAAAAGCATTCTGGTGTTTTGGTGTGGCTTCTATTATTATTATTTAATAAAAGTAACAAAAAAGACATCACAGTCCCCCTCATGCACAGCCCTCATTGTTTCAGGGCTCCTGCACCACACCCGTTTTAAAACGCATAGATAGAGCAAGCAGGGTCTGTGTGACAGTCCGGGTAAGTTGGTAAAAGACTGAGAGCGTGGGAGGGTGGAAGGGGCCCTCCCTCCCGACAAATGTTTTTATAGATCCACTCCTTCATAACCCAACTCTTTCCCAGCCTTGCGCAGATGGCCAAAGTGTCCAAATGGGAGCCTGAATGTGTTCAAACGGGCGGCATGAGACGGGGTGATAGTTCATTAGTCATTTAAGCCACAGATGACCTCTAGATTCATTTTAATAAATAGTTAAAGTTAGATCACCCAGGAAAAAAACAGTTATATGCCGGTCTGTGCGCGCGCTCCACGCTTGCGCTGGTGATGCCATGCCGCGCAGTCACACCGGCGACGAGAGCAGCGGCACCGGGATCTGGCTGCAGACCTCTGCTGGGAGCCGGACGCTGGAGCACCCGATGAAAGATGTGGAGTCCGGACGGAGGAAAATGAATAACGCGGTGAGGGCGGGAGACGGTCTGCTGTCTCCCCCCGCAGCAGGTGCGGCGGCAGCGGCGGCGGAGAGGAACCAGGGCGCCCGGCTCAGCCTGCTGGGGAAGCCGCTGACCTACAGCTCTCAGAGCTGCCGCAGGAACGCGCGCTACCGGCGGCTCCAGAATTACCTGTACAATGTTCTGGAGAGACCCAGGGAGTGGGCTTTTATCTACCACGCTTTTGTGTGAGTATAGATTTTTGTTACAGATATTTTAAACGAGGGACCAAGTTTCTCCTCTATTTTAAAAACTTTTAAACACTAAAACCCACCAACACCCTTCACCTGTGCACACGCACAATACCAAAACTAACCCATCAGTACAATACTGCTCTGAATATCACCACAAAGTTATTAACATTCATTTTTTCCCCTGATCCAATCTGATATGGATACATTAGCTGATCGAACTGACCCGATACTGATCCGATAAATTAACAAAATACCTCGGCTCGCCATGTGAGTAAAGGCATCATGCTTGACTTAAATGTTTTTTCAAAAAAGGTAGAAAATTTATACTTATATGAAACCTCACTAGCTGCTATGTGTGCTCTGCAAAGCATCCCAATCTTAAAATTGGAGTCACTAAATTGCTGTAACTGTGCTGCTGTGTATTATATAAAAATAGAAATAACTACATGCTGGATCTGCGTCATTCATTGGATATCTGCTCCAGTTAATTATTCTATATCAGAGAATATTTTGGATCCCAGTATCGGATCGTTGCATCTTTAGCCAACAATAATGTCCAATCTTAAGTTGAAAGTGAATAAAAGCCCATTGATTCAAAGATTTATGGAAAAATCCAATGGATGTGGACTCGGTGTTTGAGTCAGCACTGAAAATGAAAGTATGTTTTTCACTGTCAGAGAGAAGAGTAGAGAGAATCTAGGCATTCATCTCTATGCTTTAGTGTTAAACCGGATTAATTTAATGTTGAACGAAACCTGATTTGGGGATTTTTAGTAGCTGTAAGTCATAACTATTACTATTAGTGAGATAAAAGCTTAAAATGTACAATTCTTTGTTGAAATATATATGATGAGTTTCGCTTAGATTTAAGAGGCTAAATATTCAATGGTTTTCTAAAGTGTAAAACGTCATCTGATAAGACTGAATGAAACCCCCAAAACAAACGTCGGATTCAATGACTAATGGATATCGAAATTCAATGTGCACACTGTAATGCAGTAAAATTGAGTCACGTCTCCACTTATCTTTGTACAGCTTGGAAATTTTCCCAGAGATTTGGGAAATCACTACAAATTTGAATGATATTAACAGGCTACCGTTTCCTCTTGATTCATAACAGAGTCATTCTGGGAGGAAAGTCCTTAGATTGAAAACAGCCTCCCATTGACCACAAGCCCTTTTTTTCTTTCCTCTTATGCGAAATACTTTCCCCTTCTCCTCCCACACACAATCAATTTACAAAAACATTGTTTGTAAATATTTCTGACCTCTCCTGGTTTTTGTCTGGCTTTGCTCCAAGCGATCCGTTGCTTGTCGTAACATCTCTGTGCTAAACCTTTCCTTTAAAAGCAGATTGTGTGCCATCCAGCTCCTCTGTTTCACTCAATATGAGCCAAGTTAGTAAAGCATCCTTTCAGGAAAGCAGTGGGGTGGGTCTGCTGAAGAATTGAGCAACTTTTCTGTGGCAGTGGCATCTTGAGTTTCTATCTTAAACACACTGTGGCTGACAGCAAACCTCCAGAGAACATACAATTGTATTAGTATTAATGTAACATGTAAAAAAAACATATTTTGAGTGCATAAAACAAATTAATTTGCTATGAGAAACAGGCCCACAGCATCATAGGTCCTCCACCATCCGTTACAGTAGTTATGAATTCCTAATTTTTTACAACGGAGAGGAAAAAACTAAAAAGGTTTCTAGTCAACGACCAGCGGGATTTGAAAAAAACTCCATTATGGTTTTATTTTTGTGGTGGTATGGCTGAAATTGCTTATCACACTAAAAAAAAAAACATGTTGGCATGAAGATAGCATTTAATGGTTGTAATGAAGTGTTTGTGAACCCAAGATGCAAGTCTCTGCTGTAAGTGAGGTTAGATAAAGAGCTGAAATCATTCAAATTGTATTTTTTACTCATCTTTACTAGCTGTGCCAGTAAATAATTCTCCCACTGAAGCGTTTAATTCCTCTCATTGGAAGCAGGATCAGGCTGAAACGCTGCCTCTTTGCTGTTTAGAGCATTTTTATGCTGGAAGAAGAGCTTTTTTGAGAAGGAAGTGGAGCTGTCAGAGGAGAGGCTGCAAAACCGGATGCTGGCGTTTTATTTGCTCCTGCAGGAGGGCCAAGGTCATGGGGGTTAAGTCATTACATCTGCTCCAGACCACAGCCTCCCACACTGAGTCGTTCTGATCAGCTGCGCGCACTTAACAAAGCAAACCATTTGTTTAAGTGGGATAAAGGGGAGATTCGCACACCAAATCTCTCACGCTTCAGGAAGATTTGCAGAACGCAGGGATGCGTTCTGCAACAGGGAAAGAAACCTTAGAGAACAGAACCTAAAGACAAACAAAAAAAGTGAACTTAATATTGAAAATGTAATAAATAATACCACACGCTAAGTTTTTGTCATCTTGATTTAACAGTTAAAACCTTCTTGTTTTGGGTTACATGTCCAGATCTGGATTTTCATTGTTATTGGCTTGGCTAGTTGTTGGCTTAAGATACCCTTCACTGCAGTTATCGATCTGATCATATGGTTTATTTCTATTTTAACAACAGTTTCTGTACATCTTTGATATACTGTTTTAGTTTCCCTCCAAAAAAGCAGGATAAGGAGATCAAATACTGCAGTCCCTCTATTATTTAATTAATTTTGGTTTACAGAAAACAGTTATTTCATCTTAAAACAAGGGGGCGCTGAAGAGGCTCATTTATTTCTGCTTTGCTCTGCTATGTAGAAAGATGCCAGCTCCAGAATCAGCAGTCAGAAACCAAAGATTTAAAGCTTAAAGCTTTTAGCTAGTGGTGATTATTACATGAATAATTGTCATGAGTCCATGATAATAATATAAATATATTTTAACTTTGTTGTTTCTTTTTGTAATCTAAGAATTTCCACTTAAAAAAAAATCAATGCAAATTTTATTTTATTTTTTTGTGGAAGATCTGCACCAGGGTTGAATAATTAATTCCAAGTTTAACAGCCCTTTTATAATGCTGGGTACGGGCAATTACCAATACGTCGAATGGCTGATATCTTAGGCCTTAGGACATTAGCACATTCAGCAGTCATGTCTTCAGATTTCGTAAAATGTATGCATTGCCATTTTTTCCCATTTATAGCCATTGTTAATTTTATTTCCGATTTCTTTAAAGACTTCTGCAATATTCATTATCGTAAAGTACATAGTGTATAGCTTACAGAACACAGCAGATATCTGGGAATCCATTAAACTTGTGTCAGAATGATTAGTATTACTATTAAAAAAGCTGCATTGGTTGATCACCATTGGAGACTGATAGCGTAGTTGTTATAGAGCTGCACATTTTTCCTCTGGAAAGGGCAGAGAGATTGCTAGTTCGAAGCTCAGACTTTCACTGGACCCTAAGGCAAAACCCTTTAACATAGCTTTCTGCCCACAGACTCCTCACTGCTGTCTAAAGATGGTTAAGCTCAGAAGATCAATTTCCCCCGATGTGGGCCTGTAGAGATATGTTTTCTTTCCTTCTTTTCCTTTTGTCACCCCTTAAGGAATCATACCTTTTTTTGCAAATATCAAAAATAACCATCAAAAGAAGATTCATCCTCTCAACTAAAATTGTACCTCCTTGATGTTGAGGCATATCTACATTCACAGTGTATCTAGAGTGTGCCAGACAAATAGGACATCTAAGGAGGTATTTAAAGCATTAATTTTTCAAATGTCTTAGATTTGTGCTTTCTTTTTTTACTGTGCAGATTGCAAATGAAAGCTGAAGCTCATAAATCTTGGATGTTATTGTATCTTCTCCACAGCAAATTGACTGCATTGTCTGATATGTAAGATTTTCTGAAGATCAAAAGCATGCAAATGCGGTTTGAATGTCTAAGCATAAACTCGTCGACCCACAGATGTTTTGTAAAGATGTAAAGCTGCAAAAAAACTCACATGGCTCCAACACATGCTTCTCACAAATTCTTTCACACGTGATAAGTGATCAACAAAACACAAAGCGCATGATTTATAAAAGAAAGGTTCCTTTGATAGTTGGCTTTGAGAGCACTCATATTGAACCAGATGCTGCTGTTTGTTTTTCTTGTGAGGATTCACACTGAGTATCAGAAAACGGCCTTAAGGGTGTATTTTCTTCCCCCTTAATGTGTTTGGTGGTGTAGGAATTGAAACAGGAGGGATCTATTCTATCTGCTGTATGAATGTTGATACAGACGAGAACCTGTTGTTGTATTTTTTGCAGAATAATGCTCCTCCAGTCGGGATTACGGCTCTATCTTCCTAACGAGATGGCGTGTGTTGGACTAATCACATTTGCGGAAATGGGTTCCAGTCACAGTCTGTATTTTGTGCTGTACTGATTTGTTGATTCCTCTGACAGATTTTTGAGATATCTTTTCTCCTATGCAAATATGACAGTACACCCATGTGCTATGCATGCCAGTGTCATGACGGTGTTTTCACCATACGCACACCATGTCAGCACCAATTAGCACATTGAAATGTTGGATTGTGTCTAAGTGAAGGACTTACAGAGAGAGGTTTGGTATTTGGCTGTGTGGCTGATTGAGTTATCCATGGTATGAGTGTGTCAGCAAATGATCCCTGGACTGTTCTGGTCTACTAACAGGGAGAAAATCAACCAAAGCAGATGAAATGCCACTCCGTGAGTATCACCTTGCTAAAATTATCAAGCTGAGCCCATTTCCGCTTACATTTCTAAAATATTAAGTGCTCACAGGAAGATGGCCTGGAGGGGAAATTTCTCCATGACATTTTCTTCTCTGGATTACCTTTTTTTTGTAAATTTGCTATTTAATAATTTAACTGCATTTTCTTGCGGATCTTGTGATCGTTACTGCTGTCCACTACTATAGAATCCACCCATCAGTGATCCCCAGGGTATGATTCCCTGTATTTATAAATATAGCTGCTAAAAAGTTGTCCTCCTGTTGATTCTATTAGACTACAAATAACTTACATCTGGATTGTGCAACA